CTCCCGTCCCCAGCCCGCAGAGCAGGTCGGAGAGCGATGGCGAAGGTGTGCGCACCTTCGCCATCGCTCTGGGACCTTGCGCGGGCTGGGGGCGGGGGAAGCCGGAGCTTCTCCCGTCCCCAGCCCGCAGAGCAGGTCGGAGAGCGATGGCGCAGGTGTGCGCACCTTCGCCATCGCTCTGGGACCTTGCGCGGGCCGGGGGCGGGGGAAGCCGGAGCTTCTCCCGTCCCCAGCCCGCAGAGCAGGTCGGAGAGCGATGGCGAAGGTGTGCGCACCTTCGCCATCGCTCTGGGACCTTGCGCGGGCCGGGGGCGGGGGAAGCCGGAGCTTCTCCCGTCCCCAGCCCGCAGAGCAGGTCGGAGAGCGATGGCGAAGGTGTGCGCACCTTCGCCATCGCTCTGGGACCTTGCGCGGGCTGGGGGCGGGGGAAGCCGGAGCTTCCCCCCTCCCCAGCCCCCGAACAGGTCAGAGAGCGATGGCGATGGTGTGCGCACGTTCGCCATCGCTCTCGGGGCTTGGGAGGCTGCGGGCGGGGGAAGCTGGAGCTTCCCCCGACCCCAGCCCCCCGAACGGGTTGGAGAGCGATGGCAAAGGTGCGCGCAGCTTTGGCATCGCTCTGGGAGCTTGCGCGGCTGGGGGGATAGCTTCCTTAAGCCTGGAGAGCAAGAGGGGTCGGTGCGCACCGACCCCTCTCGCTCTCCAGGCTTCAGCGAAAGCCTGCATTCGCGGCGATGGGATGTGGGAGGGAGCTCGCTCGCCGCCCCGCGTGTGCTCGCCGCCGGCGCCCCGCCTCTCGCCGCCCGACTCGCCCGCCTCCCTCCCACGGCACACTAGGCAACGTCTCACGGCACACTAGTGTGCCGCGGAACACCGGTTGGGAAACACTGATGTAAAGCATCGTGCAGATTGAGGATGGTAGAAAAATAAGCAAATAAGCTTATAAAATAAGCAAATAAGCAAATAAATGTTATGTAGCCTAAATCAAGTGTAACAATCGCTCAAGTACAAGTGTGCCCAGGAGTTCTCTTCTTTCTTTTCTCATACTCCAAGTCCATAAGAAAGGTTTCAGGAGCTTGGGTAAACCACAGTTTTCTGTGACATTCAAACTGAGAAACTCTGGTTTATTCTCTACTATAAACCTGCACATAATCCAGGATAAATGAAAGCATCATATCTGAACTGGGCCTGCATCACTTCATCACTCGCCCCAGTGACTTACTGTATTTTTCACTCTATAAGGCGCACCAGACCATAAGACGCACCTAGTTTTTGGAGGAGGAAAACAAGAAGAAAAAAATAATCTGGATCTCAGAAGCCAGAACAGCAAGAGGGATCGCTGCGCAGCGAAAGCAGCAATCCCTCTTGCTGTTCTGCCTTCTGGGATAGCTGCGCAGCCTGCATTCGCTCCATAAGACGCACACACATTTCCCCTTACTTTTTAGGAGGGAAAAAGTGAGTCTTATAGAGCAAAAAATATGATAATTTCTGTATGCCGAGCTGTTGAGAAAGACATTAGATGAAGACATTAGATGAACTCTCACCTGAACTATGATGATAAATTATGATAAGGATCCCCCCCCCCCCGGACAATATGTATGAGGCTGGAACAAAGGAATTTGCTTCACAAACAAGGCGCAGGATACAACAAAATATTAAAGGTACTGAATGTTCCTAGAGACTTTGGATGCTTCAAGTGGGGAAACACCTTGAAGCACCTGTTTCGTTGAGCTATTTCAATTGTTTTTGTTTGATTTGCTCATTGCAAATAGCAGAAAGTCTGTAAATTTTGATAATAAACCCAATTTGCAATGGGGGTTGAATGATTTCAATTGCAACTGTAGTCCAAAGCACCCTAAGATTGCAACTCGCATTTCTCCCCCAATCCTCTCAAGCTCTCCCTTTACCTCTTTCCTCTGGCCCCGCACTTGTGTAACGCAGATGTACATTAAATGTATATAACATTTTTTATTGGGTATTCTGACTACAGCACTCCTTAAAGTAACATGGGCAAGAGGGCAATTCAGAGTATTTTAGTACATAAACCAACTGAAGGAAGCCTTTCTGGAAAGCTCTCTTTGGGAAAGTGGGTTTTCACAGGAAATCCAGCTACTTTGGTGAAATCTGCCTCGGGTCTAGGAAGGAAGGAAGGAGAGGGGCCAAACACATCCTTACATTCTTGCCCCACCTGTGGCAAATACCACCTATGTGGTGTGAGTCACACATCCCTGAGGTGGTTGTTATGCCTTCCATCTGACTCACCCTGAGCAGAATGGATGGGACAGGAGGCAAGACCTTCAGTGGAGTCCTGGCTCAATGAAGCAGGAGACCTTCCAGAATGTCCAAGAGCTACTAAGATTACAATAAAACCTGCAGGAATCTGACACTGAGCAGCTGGGTAAAGATCAGCTGTAATTGCTTGGTTTAAATTTTTTTTAAGACAAATTTTTATTATTGTTGGTTTTTTAAATGCAAATGAACATCCAAAAACTAGTAAACACTTATCCAGCATTCAACATTCAGACGTATTACTTTATGTAACCTCTCCACTGAGAATATTGAGCAGTTGGTACGAGATCTTGATTTTGGTCATTAACCTAGTAAAAGAAAGGGGTCCACGTTCCATGGAAGGTGTCTCTATTTGTTAAGCCTGAAATTGTCCTCCTATGTCTGGTGAGACGCTCAGACATTGCTGTATCCCAGAAAATATTTTCGCATATGTTCATGGGTTTTTCAGTCTGGTTCTTCCATTGCTGAGCTAAATTGTTTGGTTTAATAAAATTAATAATATAATGCAACAAAACATGTCTTTCCCAAATTTGTCTCTACAGCCACAACAAGTTCTGTAACCTTCCAACAGTGTGACTTCACCCCCAAAGGTGCAGCTCCTCCAATGTCTCCCAAGACAGATGGATGCCAATTCTCAGTGTATTTAATTGCCACAAACCTGGTGGGAGCCAGACCTAGCAGACTCCAGTTTGTGATGGTCTTGTGAAATTATGGGTCTCAAATGCAGAAAAACTTCAGAAATCTTGAAATATGTTATCTGAGAGTGTCAGGACATTAAAATACAATCAGAAGCAAAGCTGGAAGAGTTAAATGTTTTATGCTACTTGTGAGGATAAGAGCTCCCTCCTTACATCCCCTTCACTAGTCTCACTATCCTTCCCTTCCTTTTTCATCCCTTCACTCATTGTAAGGATGATTCTAAATTTTTTGAAAGACTAGTGGTTCATATCTAGGTTGCCTACCCAGAAAAGAAAAAGTGGCATGGGAAAGAGAATGTGTTTAATTTGCCTTTTTTCTTAAGCCTTAAACAAATATGCTCATGATATTTTCAACCATATGTTAGATGTACATCGGGTGCAATAAATAAGAGATTACAAATGTAACTATACCTAGGAAAATGATATAAGAGGACAGTTCCAAATTGTTCATCTGTTCCCGAGCCCTGTAAGAGACATTCATAGGATTACACAGTTATTCCATGTGCCAGACTCTTTGAGCCAACACAGCTTCTTTCTTAGCCACAGATCACTGTGGTGTGAGTGTTGTTCGCTTAGAGGGAAGTGCAGAGGTTCTGTGCCCTTTAAGTGCAGTGTTGAGGCATGTGGAAACATGCATGCATACGGAGTTCTCCCTTTTTTGTACGTTCAATGTCCCAAATAAACTACTGGTTTGAGAGTAGGAATGTCTTGCATAAAAAACCCCCAAGAAGCTGATATCAATATATACAATATATTGATACAGTGATATCAATATCAAATACCCCAAGAAGCAGATATCTGAGAAGCTAATGTATACCTCTTGATTTGCAACAAATGAAGCCTGTTGTTTTTCATGAGCTACATGAATAGCAAAGTACTACTGAACACAATGCATAGTTGAGCTGTGGAATTCATTCCCAAAGGATATGATGGCCATCAACTTGGGGTGCCTTTAAAAGAAGATTAGAGAAATTAATGGAGCATAAGGCTACCAATGGCTACAAAACCTGAGGGTGATGTTTTGTCTCCAGTGTCAGAGGCAGTATTCCTCTGAATAGCAGTTGCTTAGAATCACAAGTGAGGAGACGGCTGCTATTGCACTTGAGGCCTCATAAGCGCCCAACCACCTTGAGAGCAGGGTGCTGGACTCAATGGGCCTTTGATTTTATCCAGCAGCACATTGACCTGTGTGCATCCTTTTTCTACTCTTAACATTACTTTTGTTGTTTTAGTTCACATTCCTGCTTTCAGGGCTGTATGGGGTGCAAGGGGAAGTGTTGTGCCTCTGGTGGGGGACATGCCATGCTCCTTCTGGAGTCCCCACCCTGCACTCAGCTCTCACCTGTGGCTCCTAGAAGCTGTCAGCAGGCGACAACGGCCACACCCTGGGAATAGCTCCAACTGGCCAGCTAAACCAGGTGAGGGTAGCCAACGGGTCTCAAACCCTCAGTGAGTTAGGAACTTCCCCTACATGGGAAAAGCAGCTCTGGCGGATTGAGCAGACGAGACCAATAGTGGGTCTAACCACCAAGAAGGCAGTTTCTGCACATGCTGTAGAGGGAAGTGAGGAGCATCCACCTGAAAAGGTAGCCCATCTAAGAGAAGGAAAACTCTGATCCTAAACATTCACTGTCTTGTGGGATATCTTTGGGAGAAAGCAGGGCTAAGGAGTAAGTCCTCCTTTTGGCAACTCCTGCAGCCAACCTGGTGCCAACCCAATTGCTTTGCTTTGCTTTGGACCACATCAGTGAGACTGAGAGGGTGGTGTCACCTGGCCAGCCCAGGACCTCCACACTCACTGCCCAGCCTGGCGCCCTGGGGAGGTCACTGCTAACACAGCCGTTTGACTTCACCCCTGGAGGCACACTCTGTTGTCTTTCAAGACAGATGGATGCCAACAAACTTCCTTTTAATTGGTTTGAAAAATTAATTATACGTGAATATTAATGGAAATGAGAATTTATTTTTGTTTGTGGCATTAAACAGTAAGATATTATCTCATCATTTTTTCACTAGAACAAATGCAAACACCACAGCTTTCTTAAAATTGCTGTACCCTGAGTTTTACTCACCCTGATGGTAACAAAAGAACTGTAAGGAGTCTGTCACAGCTAAGGGAAAGAGATGTCCATCCGGATTGCATGGTGCTCAGCTTGCCTCTTTGCCATGGCCTTTTATACCTTGCCAAAGCCATCCCAAAATCAAGTGTGTTCCACGGAGAAGATGGAGAACATCACTATTGACATCAAAGCAGCCTTTTCCAAAGGCATCCGGGGGGAAGATCCAATCCATGCTTCATCTTGGGAAGCCTGTGTTGATGTCTGCTGCTTGGGTGCAGGTAAAAACGGTGCTCTTTAGGTGCATCCACATTACAGGCTTAAATTAGTTTGACAGCCAGTCATTTCCCCACTACAGGAAACCCTGAGAACTAGTGTGTGTGTGTGTGTGTGTGTGTGTGTGTGAATTATAGAATTCACCAAACTACAGTTCCCAGAATTGAGGGAGGGGTGATTATGGGGATCCATGACAGCTATAGCTGGCCTAAAATCAGTCTATGTTTATCATATAGATGTGTCACTTGACTGCACTTGAAATGAGCTGGGATGGACTGAGTTGGAGCTTGCAATCAATTGTGGGAGCTCAGATATGGCTAGTGCTTTCCTTCTAATCCCCTCTCCAAATGTGACTTCTCTCCCCCCCCCCAACCTTCCAGCCATCCATGTTTCCAGCCACATGTAGTTATATGTCAAGAGCATCTATAGCTCTGGAAATCATGAAGTGCAGAAAATTTAATGTTGAGTATATTCAATAAGAGGGCTTAGAGTCTTGCTTTAATCTGCCCCCTCTAATAGTTCTTCCATGATGCTTACCAGACCGCACCCTGAGCCCCCCTGCCCTGGAGCTACTTCCCACTTCCTGACCCTGATGTTTCACTCCTTTTTTGCCAGGCTTTGTCCCCTCAGTCTCAGGTTTAAGACTCAGGAGACCTGCCCACTCTAATCCTCATCTTGGCTGCTAGTCTCACCACCTAGCCTTTTCAAAGCAGCTACGTCTTGCACACATGGAGAGCAGATGCTCCCAGAGTTCATATTCATGCTGCTTTTAGAAAGCCAAGTTCACAGCTGCTGACTAGGATGAATCATAGAATAATAGAATTATGGAGTTGGAAGGGACCCAAGGGTCCTCTAGTCCAACCCCTTCAATGCAAGACTCTCAACTAAAGCTTCCATGACAGATAGTCATCCAAGCTCTGCTTAAAAACATCCCAGGAAGGAGAGTCCACCATCTCTAATGGGAGTTTTCCACTGCCGAACAGCTCTTGCTGTCAGAAAGGTTTCCAAATGTTTAGTCAGAATCTCTTTTCTTGTTACTTGAGGCCATTGGTCCTGCCCTCCAGAGCAGCAGAAAACAAGCATGCTCCCTCTTCCGTGTGAAAGCCCTTAAGATATTTGAAGATGGCTATCATATCTCTTCTCAGTCTCCTCTTTTCCAGGCTAACCATACCAACTCCCTCAAGGCTTGGTTTCCAGACCTTTGATTATCTTGGTTGCCCTCCTCTGCACACGTTCCAGCTTGTCGACATCATTAAATTGTGACGCCCACAATTTGTGATTGTCATCTAGTCCAATCCCCTGCAATGCAGGAATGGATTGGTGAGTGCATAGCTAGTAACAGTGGACTCTTTTCCTTCTCAGAATGGGACAGAGCCGGCTGCTGGTGTGGTTTTTCAACCTAATCTACCTCACAGGGTATATGAGTGTACAGAATGGGAGAAAAAGCACAGGTTGCCTGGTACACCAGAAGGAGGGTGGGATAAAAATGTCACAAAATAAGTTGAAAGGTTAATGAACCAGTTCCTCTGAGTTTTTTCAGCCTCTCCGCCCAGAGGCAGATTTGGGGCAGCACCGAGCCAAGGGGGTGACATAGTGCACAGAATGGAAGGCGAGAGGCAGGTGGCACCAAATTTGGGGTTTGCACAGAGCACCACCCACTGAAATTTGAAAGACCAGAGTCTGCCCTGTCAAGTTCAGAGAGGGCACGGGGGAGGAGAATGAGAGTGGTACCCATTGCTAGTCCTACTCAGAGTAGACCCATCAAAATTAAGGGCCATGAAACTTAGTTTCATTAATTCCGTGGGTCTACACTGAATTGAACTTGGCTGGATGCAACTCTGAATCTCCAACTAACATTGGGCTGACCTAAACTGTGGCACTTTTGGAGCCTGACAAAGGTCTGGAATTCTTCTCATAGTGCGTGTGACGTCATGACTGGGCTATACCACTTCAGAATGAGGGGAGCTCCGCCATATGAAAAAAATAATTCTCCTTCATATAGAAACTAGCCTATCGGGTAGAAAGCTAGCTAGTTACACAAACATGAACGAACAAACTCTGGAATGGGACAGCCCAGTAACAGGTTTCCCGCCCAAGTGGGAACTAAGCCAGCAAGGTGGAATATTGAGGACTATTCCACTCTAGATTGAGATGTCTTAACATAAATATATCAGATATAAAGTCTCTCCAGTGTTACAGTATATTTAGGTTGTGTGTTTGTGTGTGTGTTTTCCAGACAGCAAGAAGTGCAACTATGTGGTCTTTAATACCAGGAGCAAAGGAAATTACACAAATTGCTACCTGTTCTATTATCCTACTAATGAAACCTTCCTGGTGAGACAAGTGTCAGGACTGGTGACCTACCGAATGATAAAAGGTAAACAATGATTTTTAAAAAGAAAAAGTGTTGATTGACAGTGGAAGATTTTCTTGCTTCATGTTGCTGTTTTATTATTGACTGTTTTATTCAAAGTGTTGGTGCTGACCTTTAAAGCCCTAAACGGCCTCAGCCCAATATACCTGAAGGAGCGTCTCCACCCCCATCGTTCAGCCCGGACACTGAGGTCCAGCGCCGAGGGTCTTCTGGAGGTTCCCTCACTGCGAGAAGTGAGGTTACAGGGAACCAGGCAGAGGGCCTTCTTGGTAGTGGCGCCCACCCTGTGGAACGCCCTCCCATCAGACGTCAAGGAAATAAACAACTATCTGACTTTTAGAAGACCTCTGAAGGCAGTCCTGTTTAGGAAAGTTTTTAATGTTTGATGTTTTTATTATATTTTCAGATATGCTGTAAGTTGCCCAGGGTGGCTGGGGAAACCCAGCCAGATGGGTGCAGTATAGATAATGAAGTTGTGGTGGTGGTAATAGTAATAATAGTAATAATAGTAGTAATAATAATAATAATAATAATAATAATAATAATAATAATAATAATAATAAATTTATACCCCTCCCATCTGGCTGGGTTTCCCCAGCTACTCTGGGCAGCTCCCAGCAGAACACTAAAAACAGAATAAAACTTCAAATATTAAAACTTCCCTAAACAGGGCGGGTGGCGCTGTGGGTAAAAGCCTCAGCGCCTAGGATTTGCCGATCGAAAGGTCGGCGGTTCAAATCCCCGCGGCGGGGTGCGCTCCCGTTGTTCGGTCCCAGCGCCTGCCAACCTAGCAGTTCGAAAGCACCCCCGGGTGCAAGTAGATAAATAGGGACCGCTTACTAGCGGGAAGGTAAACGGTGTTTCCGTGTGCGGCTCTGGCTCGCCAGATGCAGCTTGTCACGCTTGCCACGTGACCCGGAAGTGTCTGCGGACAGCGCTGGCCCCCGGCCTCTTAAGTGAGATGGGCGCACAACCCTAGAGACTGTCAGGACTGGCCCGTACGGGCAGGGGTACCTTTACCTTTAAACAGGGTTATGTTGATATTATGATAAATTTTGATTTTATTATGTATTGCAATCTGTTAAACTGAATCTGTCAAAGATTCTTTAGCTGTGATTTCTGCACTGTAGGGGGTTCAACTAAATGATCCTTGGGATCCCTCCAAAACCTACAGTTATATGATTCTAAGATCCAGTCAGTGTTGTGGTGTGTTCTTGTTTTAGCCAGACCATTTGCAGACAACGCAGCTTCACCATACCAATAGGGATGTTCCACAGATTGTACAGTTTGTGCATTGTAGTGTTGTGTTAGAGCATCTAAGCATACTTGATCCTAGGAAAGTTTACTCTTAAGTAACTTCCACCAAATTTAACAAGGCTTACTCGCAAGCAAGTGTGCATAGGATTGTAGCCCTACCAGGAGGCAATTGAACTGAAGGCATGTCTAAACTATACATGTGAGCTAGTTTTGAACTTTTTGACAGTAATGGTTCCCCAGCAAGGGATTCTGGAAATTGTAGTTCTGTGTAGGATTCTGAGTAATAATAATAATAATAATAATAATTCCCAACATTCCTGCAGAATCTGCAATCTCTAGGGTTCTTTGTAAGCAGAATCAGAATCCGAGTCTCCTCTACTGGGGTGCAGGATAGTGATTCTGAAATAAATTAAGGGCTCTTCACCCTTAATTTGTATTTGTGTGGGGACTTGCTTGTTGAAAGTATTAGCAAATAATAATATACCTCCTTTCTTCCTTTTTAGATGCAAAGGTTCCCATGCCAACTCCTCCTTCAGTTCAGCTCTCCCACCCAACTGTGAATGGGAAGTCTGTGTCTGCACTGGCTGCTATGTTCAATCCTCACAGCCCAACAAGCCCTCTGCATGGGTCAGGTCCTTTGCAAAAGCCAATTCCCCCAAAGAGTGTGGAAGTATTGAACCACTTAGATGATAAACACATAGATGAGATGGGTGGACACTCCCAGCATCCACAAAGCAGAAGGGCAAATGGTTCAAAGAGCTTGGGTTCTTCAACAGTGCCTGAACTCAAGAGTTTGTTGTCCCCAAGTACTCCAAATGCTATTGAGCCTGGTATTCCCACTGCGCAGCCCACAGTTAAGTCACCTACTATTACCACTGGCACCCAGCCTGGTACTATAATTCCTCACGTGTCTCCTAGAAAGGCAACAACCACTAGGTCTACTACAGCTTATCATAAGAATGCACCTTGGGCCACTACAAATCTAAGAAGAAGTACCACTGTTCCCAACCCATCTACCACTGCTGGATCTAGTGCTGGTAGCCTCAGCCCACTGCTTATGAAGATTTCTTCTGCTTCTTTACATGATGTCCATCTTGGCAATGGGCAACAAGGCTTGAAAGGTGATATGCTTAATGGAGAGCCCAGCAAGGAACATTCCCTTCACTTTGGTGACAAAAGCATACTTACAGCTGCCTTGCTTTTGGGGGTGGTCTTCTTTCTCTTCGTTACAGTGCTGGTAGGTAGAAAGATGCTTGAATCTCTTCAGAGAAGGCGTTACACTAAGCTAGACTACTTGATCAATGGCATGTATGCGAACATGTGACAGAGGAAAAACATGAAGAAGTACATTAGTGGTAAATTTGGAAGCTTTATAGATGGATTGGATTTGTCACAGCAGAGAACATGTTATCTTTCCTACAAGGTCAAGTTTAAATGTTTTAGTTCCCTCACGAATGGAGTTCTCATGTGGTATCTTTGCTTGTTTGCAGTGTGTATCATATGTTGGTTGCATATCGAATCCCCTGCTTTCTGCAACAAGAAGTCTGTGATAGTTTGGCATTCTATCCCACTTGCATAATAAGGGCAACATTTACATTTAGCCAGAGCAGTTTGTGCAGCAGCCAGACTGGCAACCTCTTTCTCTGAATGGTTGTTGAGAATATGGCATGCAGGAAGGGGGTAATCAGTCTGCCCCAAAAGAGTGGTGATGTTAGACCTTACAGAAACAGAAGGCAGAACTTAGTTTAAATACTGTCTGTGTCTGACTGTATTTCCACACACAGTAAAAAATCAACACAAACATCTGTGTGATTGGAGACAAGATGCCACACAGCACACAAAAGAGGCTTTCAGAGCAAACCATTTTCCATTTCGCTTCTCACACAAAGTATAACACTAAGTATAACACTTAGACCAGGCTTCAGTCAAAATGGGGCAGAGCAAAATGTTAAAAGAAACACGGGGCCTCTGCTAAGAATGGGGACTCCCTGCCATGTTCCTTGTGATCTCATTGCATTGTGCGGTAGGGCCAGTGCAACACGCAGTACAGTGATGTCAATTATGGAGAACTTGAAACGAGTATCCCATTTTAGCAGCAGCTCCACATTAATAGCATATAGCTCTGCCATGAGGGGTTTCTTATGGGAAATATTGCGTCATCATTTGCTATAACAATTAATTTTGAAAAAATGAACCCAAGCACAATTTAGATAACATTTCCCCCTTTAAAAACATTGTTTAGTCACTTGAAGACTATAGCCTACAGCTGCTTCAATGTATTTTGTAATTAGATTAAAACAAATCATATTTGGATTTTCTAAACGGTTTATTGCTGTTTCTGTATGTTTTAAACATAATCATCTGCTCAAATTCTTGGTACAGATACTTTCTCTGGACATTTTGATTCATTGGTCTGCAATTCCTGATATCCTACCTAAATCTGCTTTTCTGCTATTTGAATTCATTGCTTCTTCTCTGTCTACCACTAGATCAGTCAAAATCGGCTTTTCACAGCAATATAGATAAGTGTTAGCTAATGCTTGCAGGAACACCCTCACCCCCATATTCTGCTACTGAATGTGGGGTTTTTTTTCCACTTTAAATTTGCTTACAGATACAGTGGTACCTTGGGTTAAGTACTTAATTCATTCCGGAGGTCCGTTCTTAACCTGAAACTGTTCTTAACCTGAAGCACCACTTTAGCTAAGGGGGCCTCCTGCTGCTGCCGTGCCTCCAGGGCATGGTTTCTGTTTTCATCCTGAAGCAAAGTTCTTAACCTGAAGCACTATTTCTGGGTTAGCAGAGTCTGTAACCTGAAGCGTATGTACGACTGTACTATTTCTTGAAGAGGGGCCCCTTGAACAGTGGGCAAAGTTAATGTTCTATGTGAACACCAGAGGGCAGCAAATATGCTAACATGCAGGCTGCAATCCTAAACCCACCTTCAATGGAGTAAGCTACTAGGTCAGTGTGCTGTGGCACCCTGGGCTGCCTCGAATACTGGTCGGGTGCTGCGTGCAACACTGGCCTCTGTCCCTTTCTCCTTCCTCCTCCGATGCCCTCTCACTCTCACGCATCTGCCTCCCAAAGGCTTGCACAGCTGTTTATTGCAGCAGCCCTGGCTGCAAGCTCCCCAGGGCAGGGGTCTGCAACCTTTAAGACAAAAAGAGCCACTTGGACCCGTTTCCGAAAAAACAACAACTGGGAGCCGCAAAAACATTGCAACATTTAAAACAAATATAACACTGCATATATTGTTTCTTGCCTTTATGCTATATATACAGGATCGTGCAGTCAGCTGTCAATCTCAAGAAAAAAGGACAAATTAATAGCTAATTAAAATATTTAATTTACAACCAGGTAACCAGGTTAATGGGACTTTTGCTCCTGAACCTCAGTGCTCAGTGTCTGCACATCAGGGCTGTAAGACGTCACCTTCATTTTCACACAGGCTTGCAAGCTGTCATCTGTGAGGCGTGATCGGTGTTTGTTTTTAATATAGTTCATGTTGGAGAAGACCTGCTCACATACATATGTGGAACCGAAGATCGACAGGACTCCAAATGCATACTTTTTCATGTTTATATAAGTGTTGGGGATGGCATTCCATGTTTCGAATACAAGTTTGTCCTGTTTGGGAAGGTTTTCAATATCACTCCATTTATGATTCTGAGCCAGAATGGCCTTCTGACGGGCAACATCCTCAAGAGTAGCGGTCAAGCATTTGAACTTGGACACCCATATATCTTTGTCGGCTATATCGGCCAGTTCCAGCTCAAGATCAGGTTGACTTACACCTGGAAATGCAGTCATATTCAATAGGGATGGATCGATCGCCAGGGGAGTGACAGGGAAGGATAATGTGTTTTTTTCCTCTCTGAACCCACAGAATCGTTTCCCAAACGAGCTTTGCATTGCGGTGATTGCAGACTTGAAATATTCCAAATTTATCGCATCATGACTTTGTTTGAACTCTCTCAAAGAGGGAAAGTGAGACAGTGTACCTCTCTGCAAATCTTTGACAAACACTGTCAACTTGCGCTCGAATGCCAAAACCTCCTCCAGCATGTGCAGGGCTGTGCCTCCTTTCCCCTGAAGGCTTGTATTTAGCGTGTTTAGATGGGCTGTCATGTCTACCATAAAATGTAATTTTTCCAGCCACTCTGGCTGTTCCAGCTCAGCAAAGGTAAGCTCTTTGCTGGCCAGGAAGGTTTTTACTTCTTCCAAACATGTGACAAAGCGTTTTAGCACCTCGCCTCTGGACAACCACCGGACCTTGTTGTGGAGCAGGAGGTCCGAATATGTGCTTTCCACCTCATCCAGTAGCAAACGAAACTGGCGGTGGTTTAAACCCTTTGCCATTATCTTATTAACAATCTGAATGACCACATCCATCACTTTTGTGCATTCAGGGGGAAATGTTTGAGCACACAATGCCTCTTGGTGCAGGATGCAATGAAATGACAGCAGCGTTCTACCCAGTGCCTTCTGCAGTAGAGCCACAAAGCCCTTCTGTGCTCCTCTCATGCTCGGTGCCCCATCAGTAGCCACTGAGACCAGGTGGTTGGTGTTTATTTTTTTAGCACTTAAAAAGTCCAGGACAGCCTTACAGATATCCTCACCCCTTGTTTGGTCTTTTAGTGGTATCAGCTCAATCAGTTCTTCCTGTGGCCCAAAAGAGTTCACATATCGGCAGAACAGCGCTATTTGTTCAATATCACCTTTATCTTTGGACTCATCACAGGCGATGGAGTACGCCACAGCTGAATTAATGTCTTGAATTTGCTGTTTGCTAATGTCTTCTGCCATTTTTAGGGTTCTGTCTTTAACAGTCTTCGCAGACAGAGGCATGTCTTTGATTTTCTGCACAATTTCATTCTTGTTTTTGAAGTCCATGTATAGATGTTCCGAAACCTTAATGAATGCTTCTTTTATATACTCTCCATCTGTGAACGGCTTCCCATGCTTGACTATTTCCTGAGCGGCTACAAAACTAGCATATGTTGTCGAATTTGCAGACTTCACCCAATTCTTGAAATTATTTTTGCTCCTATCAACCTTCCTCATAAGTTCTGCAACGGCTTTTCGTCTCTCATCTCCATCTGGATATTTTTCAGCAAAGGCTGCGTGTTTATTCTGGAAATGTCTTGCAATATTTGACTTTTTGTTGTTTGCAAATTTCTCACCACATATTAAGCATACTGGTAAACCAGTCTTGTCAGTAGAGAATGCAAATGATTCTGTCCATGTATCATTTAACATTCTGTTTTCTTCAGAAATTTTTCTTTTCTTGCCTTTATCCATGGCTGGCCTACCGGGGGTCCAAAACAGGGACGTAATTAGAAATCAGAGGGCCCCATAGCAAAATTTGCTATGCCCGATGTCAGGGAACTGACATCAGAGCGAGAGGCGAAGGGGAGGCTCCCAGATTCTGCAGGCGAAGGACCCAGCACCAGGGGGAGAAGCAGCTTGGTAGAGGGGGAAGGAAATCAGCGCAACACCAGGGATAAAGGGGGGCAGATGGGGGAAGCGGAGAGAGAGCTCCGGGATTCTTCTCTGTACATCAGTGAGTAGAGCACAGGTCCTCCACTACCCACGTCCTCCCTGCGCAGAAGACTCCCGCGCAGTGAGAGGAGGAGGCGACTGGGAGTCAGACAGCTTCTATGCTGGAAGAGGTTTAAGAAATGGCCACAGACGGCAGTTTACGCACGAGTAACTCATACCCATTACACCCAATAATACACCTCATAGAAATAAACATTAAATTAACAAGTTACCTTTTTTTGAGTGTGTGTTCTTCACTCCCCTTCAAAACAGTGACCAGTGTATATGCCCCCTTTCAATGCAGCCTGCTTACAAAGGTGGGACGACAAAGACCAGCAATAAGCTGTTGCATAACGTTCCCCAAGGAAAGCGTTAGCTATTCATAGAATCAAAGAGTTGGAGGAGACCACAAGGGCCATCGAGTCCAACCCCCTGCCAAGCAGGAAACACCATCAGAGCACTCCTGAGATATGGTTGTCAAGCCTCTGCTTAAAGACCTCCAAAGAAGGAGACTCCACCATACTCCTTGGCAGCAATTCACCAAACTTTCACCAAACTTTCCCCTGCTTAAGTTTAAAAAGGGGCTTCCGGCAACTAACTCCACGTGGAATTCCACGCGACCGCGACTTGCTATGCCCAATAATCAATGCCACAAAATGCCATACAAAATTAACCAGGGCCCCAGTGAACCATAAATCATAATCAGTGCCTGATGTAAATAATAATTAATAATGAGGGCCCAATGTCATCCTCGTCATTATAAAAATAATCCCTCTCTTTGCGCTGCCCAGCCTCCCAAGAAAAAAACCCCACTTCAAACGGTCACAAAGCACAAATTCCACGCGACCGCAACTTGCTATGCCCAATAACCAATGCCCCAAAATGCCATAGAAAATTAATCAGGGCCCCAGTGTACCATAAATCATAATCAGTGCCTGATGTAAATAATATATAATAATGAGGCATTCGTCATTATAAAAATACCTTTTTTGACACTTTTTATTATTTCTTTGTTTGACCCCTCAGAATTACTCCTCCTCATAGAAATAATCATTAAATTAACAAGTTACCTTTTTTTGAGTGTGTGTTCTTCACTCCCCTTCAAAACAGTGACCAGTGTATATGCCACCTTTCAATGCAGCCTGCTTACAAAGGCGGGACGACAAAGACCAGCAATAAGCTGTTGCATAACGTTAAGGAAAACAATTCACCAAACTTCCCCCTGCTTCAGTTTGAAAGGGGCTTCAGGCAACTAAAAGGGGGCTTCAGGCAACTAACTCCCACGTGGAATTTCCTATAGTAAGATGGCGGCCGCCTCAGAAGACCACATGGGCAGATAAGATGGCTGCTGGAAAGATCCGGTTACCCAGCAACAGCACAGCTGATTCCGACGCTTTTGAAAGCAGCCGGCAAAGCAAGCGTTGGAGCTCCGAAGCCACTGCGCATGTGACCAAATAGCGAGGACTTACTTTGCTAGAGACAAGGCTACCACAAGCCTCCCTCTCTTCGCGCCGCCCAGCCTCCCAAGAAAAAAACCCCACCTCAAACAGTCACAAAGCACAAATCACAAAGCCCCGCGCCTCCTCCCCTCGCCTCCGCCCCGTGCCTCCGCCACGGAGCCGCAGCAAAGGCTTTAAAGAGCCGCATGCGGCTCCGGAGCCGCAGGTTGCCGACCCCCGCCCCAGGGGAATGCTGCCTGGGGCTCCCAACATGGCAAACAAATATATTCACTCTGCTGACACTGAGAGCTCAGAAAGATTAGCCACGTCCCAGTGGGCTCAAG